TCACTTATTAGGGATCGCGTTAATTGTCGATATTATTTGAACGGAGTGCGTTAATTAATCAATCACAATATTCTCTGGTAAATGTTTGTGCAAATTTTGTTTCATTTTGCCTCGATAGTTTGTTAAAACATTTTAGTTTGAATTTATGACGAACCCACATTTGTATCTTTTATTCAACAAATTTTCTAGAAACAGACTTAATGTTCCCTTTCAGATATATTTATTATCCTTTTCCCAGTCACTTCGTGTTCCCAACTCCCTGACATCTTCTGGTATGTTTCGGAAACTTTAGAATACGTTTTTTTTAGGTCGTAATTAGTATATTTTCCGGGTCTAAAGCCGAAACATCTCTGACAAAAATTTTTTATTTACTTAAATGTCTGTTCCACATCGGGCAGAATCACTGATCTTGAAGAGAATAAACTTGACGCAGGACGATTATTTATATCTACAGTTGGTAACCCTATGTCCACGGATATATTTACCTTCAGTATCTTTTTTGCCCGAAGTTTATTAGAGAGCAGTAGAGAAAGCAATCATGAATCATTAACAGTAGGTATAACACGCTTGATTTGCTATGATCTCTTTAAACCTTATTAACCTGATGACAGCCAAGATAAAAAGTAACAGCGATTTGTTTGAACTCGGCTCACAGCCTCGCTTGTTAGTTGTTACCCATCTCTCGACTGCTCCCTCGACTTCAAAGTTCAATGGCGGAAGGTATTTTCATTTATAGACCAGTTGTTCGTCCAGACACTCATATCTTCGGAAGACTATTACTCTTTCCATTTATTCTGGTATCGAAATTATTTATAGTCCAAGCGATTTATTTTGAATGGCTTTTAATGCGAGCGCAGTTCAAAATAGTTATGCCCTGCTTTGGTTTGTAAATTAACCTAACCAAGGCCTGTAGTGGAAGTTCTTGGCACATCACATGCGTTTCTTTCGGCACTGGAAACTTCCTTCGCACGAAGCAATTAGTTGAATTTTCACCCAATTTTTGTCTACAGTAACAGTGACAGATTCGTCTTGGTGTGCCATTCATTGCTGAATTTCAATTTGTATATAAATTTTTCATTTTAATTCCTGTCAAAATTCTATTCTAAAGAATTTTAATATGATATAAAACGGCATATATAAAACAGTAGGCTGGCAGATGTTTATACTTTCTAACATACCTGAGACTGACTTGCCAGTTGCCATGCACCGTCAAATGTAATCAGCTGCTATAGTATGAGCAGAATGTGTGTCTATTGACTGCACTGATACAAAGAGCCACGTTATTACTTGCGCTTATACCAATTCCTGGACATGCGACTTCCTCGCCGTGACGGGAGAGAAGTGATGTTTCAACTCTTGCTTGAACACTTTTCGGAGCCACGTATCAAACAATAGAAGTATCATGAATTATCTGGAAAACCAAACAGTATTTAATTTTTATTTGAAATTCGAACGTCTTGTACTTGTACTTGATGACATGAAGCAGCCCCAGCTACAAAGTAATGGGCCCAACTGTGACATATTTAGTTGTACGAAAGTGCAGTACAGTGAGGTGTACAATTCTATGAATGCACTGTATATTAAAGTGTAGAATTCTATGAATGTTCTGTACAGTGAGGTGAAGAATTCTACAAATGTTCCGTACAGTGAGGTGTACAATTGTATGAATGTGGTGGACGGTCAGGTGTTTTGCCTACGAATGTACCCTACATCAAACTTGCTCCTCTCTGGCGTCGCACCACACGTATTCTCATCCCACATCGTACGATTCCTGCAAGGTCGTCATCTCTGAATGCCGCTAGGCACGCAAGTCACACTGCGAGGAATTGCCTGTCGAGGCCACTATAGATCAGAGCTTTTTAGTGCTATCATCCTGCACTGCTCTGAATCGTCACGTTGCTCTGAATATGCTGCTCACGACTATCAGTCTAACCGGCTCTGATTGGTCACAAACCGCTCACTGTTATCAGCCTGAGCGGCTCTGAATCTTTACGTTGCTATGAATCTGTTCAATACTTTCTGCCTGAGCGTCTTTGAATCTTTGTGTCGTTCACAATATGCTCGATACTGTCAGTCTGAGCGTCTTTGAATCTTTACGTTGCTCACAATATGCTCAATACTGTCAGTCTGAGCGGCTCTGAATCTTTACGTTGCTTTGAATCTGTTCAATACTGTCAGTCTGAGCGACTCTGAATCTTTACGTTACTCACAGTCTCGCTGAAACATGTACAACATCGTAAATAAATTGAGAAGTATCAGATTAAAACTGACATAATTAATCAGAGATAATTAGACATCAACTCACTTGATATAAGCGGGATTCGTTGAGGAGAGAGCTTCATTTTTTATGGTCATCTTCTGAATGATCGGACAGGAACTCCTTGCCGATTACGGCTTCTCAGCAAGTCGGCCCTGTTTGTTTGTTTCGAATTTATTTGTTTTACACAATAGAATTGCTCAATAAGTCCTATATACTTAGAGACAGACTAGCTGAAGCTACTGGGATTTTATACAACGATTTTGAGGAGGGCAATTTTTTTTAAATTGATCTCAAAATCGGCACAAAAACAACGTCTTTCGCGACAGTATTTACATTTTGGGCCCACGGTGACGTCACAGTCGGAACAACAAACGACATCCGCAAAGAGCAGCTGCGCGTGGGTCAACCTTGTATTAATTCAACCATGAGTTAGGGGGGCCTGCATTCATTTTGGTTGAGAGGTAAAACTGAAATATGTGCACAAAATTTACGAAGTGCTCGGTGTTGCTGCACTGTATACATTGTGATTTGTGGCCGTGTGTGATCCGTATCCTTCGTTCAAGACGAAAGCATACTTCAAGTTCACAGTCGCTCATGCCAGGAAAGAAGAAAATGAAATTGAGAGAAACACGCTGAAGACTTCAACTAAATAACTATTGCTGAGTCCAGGTGTTACAAGCGGTTAACGTGCGACTTCTTTTTCACCTAGGTACAACCCGCAACCACCACCAAGTTCACAGTCACTGAGTCACATGTCTTGAAAGTTCATTGCAATCTATTGACTATTCTAGTTTCAGAATCAATGATTTTTTAACAGAAATAGCATTTTAATTGAAGTTATATATACGAACTATGATCTTTCTTTTCAACATCTTAAAATTCGTAGGTGTAGGATCAAAAGGATGATGCACATTATCCTAGGTACCTAGCTACTACCGTAGTCCTAGTCCGTAGTAGCCTACCTAGCCTAGAAGGTATGCTAGTACTCTAGTAGGTTACCGCCTTACCTGGTACGGTTAAGGCCAGTACCATCCCGTCAAAGACACATTAGTCTTATCAGAATATCATTAGAAGTACCTAATTAGTCCATGCCATGGATTAGTGATTACTGATTAGTCGGCTTTGGCAGTGCAAATTGGCACTATCTAGAAAGCTACAATTACCTCCCGGCTCCCAGGCCCAGCTCCCTGCTCAACGTTTGTCACTAAAAACCTTACAATTCCAGCTTACTAGCAATAGCCTACTAGCGACTAGCCTAAACTGAGCGGCGGTGTGAGCACTCCGTGTTGTAAGATTGGATTAGTATGATTTATTTAAGATTGAAGAATGAAGATTGATACAGCCTATTTCAGTATTAGGCCTAGCATGATCAATTCCAAAATATTAGCTAAATATAAAATGAAATTTAATTACAGGTTCATATTTTTAGATCCAATATGTTATGTTGTTCATATAGCAGGTATTATTTGTATTAACAATCCTAATTCCAATTAAAAAGAAATGTATGATGATACTGGTACCGGTATTCATGATAGTTTACTGCATAGACTATAGTGACAAACCAGAAATTTTTTAGAATCAGTTCATTTTTAATTTCCTCATTTACTCAAGATTTTAACAGATTTCTTATGTAGGATAATTCTGGTATCCAAGATACTTTACTGGTCTACTTATAGGACTCAAAAATGAACTTGAGGAAGAGTCTAAAAAACTCTCTGCTTTGCCACTATGGTTTACTGGATGTGGTCCTGTGGAGGTGGAGTGTGGACTTATAGAAATCAAATATGAACTGGAGGAGTGGAGGAATATTCTAGAGTCTAGACTCTAGAGGCTAGACTCAAGAGTCTAGACAACTAAGACAAATAACACCTTCAAGAACAGACTAGACAAAGCTATGCATAATGCACTAAATCAGTAAATGCAGGTGCAGGACAGCAGGAGAATATGTTCAGTCTTGAAATGCCTAGCAAATTTTGGACCAGGCAATAAGTCCAGCAGCTATCTCAATCAATTGTCAGATGTCAGTTATGGAAAGATTGGGTTCCAAAGGCCGGATCCTGTGTGAATCAAGTCACAAAAAATTCAAGAATCGGCAACAGGCCATGGGGCATGGGCCTATTTCTTCAATGCCAACACTTACTTCTATTCTGTTCTAAGAAGTCTAAGACTCTAAGTCTCTGCTAAGACTTAGCTGAGTGGCAAAGCAGACTAAGCAGCTAAGTCTGCTTTGGCACTGCACTACTCACTATGTTGAGAGTTGAGACCAGGATTTAGAGTCATGGTCAACTTCACCTGTTCCTATGACCATTGACTAATTTTTTCTGTCAGTAAAGATTAAGAAAAATGGCATCTTCTTGGCTAATATGAAATATTGAGCAGTAGTTTCCTAAAATCATAGGTAAAAACTATCTATTCAGGGGCAATTTTTTTAAATTGCAGGCAAAAATATGCCATTTTTCTCATATTTTACTGAAGAAATTTAAAAAAAGGCCATAAGAGTGGGTAAAGTTGGCTAGATTTGCTGGCATTTATATCCAATAATCCAATTCACAGTGTGCTTCTGCACAATTGTCCACTTTGGCTTCTAATTTCTAACTTCTTGGCAGTTTTTGCCTATGATTTCCAATAATCACCCATGAATTTTTTTTTGGAAATTTCTGCTCAATTATCCAAATTGGCTGAATATGCAACTTTGATGGCATAATCACGAGTCATAGCCATAAGTTTCTTTTAAAGAGACAGGATAAGAGAAAAATCTAATATTACTATTTTATTAATGCATTTTAATAAATTTTCAGATTCAGTGCAATAAAGACAAATACCCGTAATTAAATAATATTGAAGACATTGAGTTTGAGGCCATGGCTGAACAGAGTTCCAAACCCTCATCATCTGATGACATGGAAGATTTGGAGCCTTTACCACCCACTCTTGAGAATGTAGTTCAACAAGCATCTCTCAAATGGGTATTTGTTGGTGGCAAAGGGGGTGTTGGCAAAACAACTACCAGGTCAGTTATATATATTTTTAAACAGTTATTTACTTTTTAGAGTTATTGGATAACAGATACTGGTACTTTTCTAAAACTGATGTCTGTCATTGGTGCTTTATTTTCAGTTTTATATGTCAGACTTATGTTGTTGCTGTATCTTTAATCTAAGGTCCATGTTGCATACATGCTAATTTTCTCAATAGCATGAATTATACTTAACATAACCTAATGTTTATCATTCTCTATTTGGCTGTTTCAGGCAGTGTTGGGCAGTCCCTCATAAGTTGTGTTTTAGTCAATTTTTAAACTGAAAGGGAAATTTTGTTATTTGCAGTTGCAGTTTGGCAGTCCAACTTGCCAAAGTTCGGAACTCAGTCCTCATCATTTCAACCGATCCAGCACACAATATTTCTGATGCTTTTGATCAGAAATTCTCCAAAGTTCCCACGAAAGTTCAAGGATTTAGCAATCTTTTTGCAATGGTAATAATAAATGAAATGATTAGCATGGATTTAGTTTCTTCAAAATGAATTGATTTAACTTAGATATGAATGAAATTTTGAGATTACATTTTATGAATTTGCAATGTCACATGTGACAGAATGTTCAGGGATTTGTAATAAGGGATTTGCTTGTTGCTAAACCAAAACAGTTGAATGGACTTCATTCAGTTTGGAAGATCTACGATTATGTATGATATATACTTGACTGTTGAAAAGAATTATAGTGAAGAATTTTTGTGATAATTTGTTGTATTTTTTGCACAGTAACTGATAAATCATTCTACAATACTTTGTAACTAATGCCTTTTTAAAATGCCTAAGCCTTTCTAAGGCTGAGTAAATAATTTTTTGAGAAGAATTTTAACATCAAGTTTGTAATAAATAGTCTGCTCTTCTGCAGGAAATAGACCCAAATATTGGCTATTCAGAGCTGCCAGATGAGTATTTTGGTGGTGACAGCAGTGAAGGGTCTGCTGCTCTAAAGGCAGGCAAGGATATCCTCCTGGAATTAACTAGTTCTTTCCCTGGCATTGATGAAGCAATGAGCTACGCTGAGGTTATGAAGTCAGTTTTACTTTTGAATTTTTTGATTTATATAAAATAATCCTGTTGGATGTTGCTACTGAATTCAACTTCTAAGTTACTTTGTTTCCAAAGAATTGATGACTAGTTTTAAAACTGAGAAAATCTTTAAGTCATTGTGCAAAGTTCTTAGCTATACTAGGCTTTTAGAAATGGTTGTAGCTCCGGAGTTTTTTGCTCTGTTAATTTATAGTGAAAAAGTTGTTTTAAAATTATTAGCTGAATGATTCTCTATGATTCAAACATATTTATAGTGTAGAATGAAACATCTCTTATCTCTTTCTGTGAGCATGACTCAGTGAATCAGTAATATTCATAAGTATCAGCGAATCATGAAAATTGTTGCAACTTTTAACTTCTCTCTGAACTTCAGACTTGTCCAAGGGATGGACTTTGATGTGGTGGTGTTTGACACAGCTCCTACTGGCCACACATTGAGACTTCTCTCCTTCCCACAAGTCATTGAAAAATCTCTGGGGAAAATTATCAACCTGAAGAACAATATTGGCCCAGTTATCAGCCAGGTTTGTTTATATTTTTGCCATCATTTTGATGTTTGAAATTTCAAAATGAAAAGCTATGTGATTTCTTGGCTATTCTATTTGAAAAAAAAAAATAAATAAATATCAGCTGAGTAAATCAGCTTATTTCATTTTGCTTGTCATACATCAATTGATTACTTTTAGAGAACGTGTTTCTCCTAATACCTTGCTTTAATTACCGTAATTGAGAGAAATTATATATTTTTTTCATATAAGCAGGGATTAGGAAAAATATGGGAAACGCCTGATAAATCCACAAAATATATTTTAGTGAGGTGCAAAATATATTTTAGTGAGGCTTTTTGCAGAAATTATAGCTGGAAATCTTCAAGATAAAGAGAATATTGATTGATATGCGTATTGTTATTTGATTTCAAAGGAGTTTTAACCCATTCGTCAAGTAAAACTCCCTCCAGCTCTTTTAAAGACGTTGGCGGCAGGAATCGACTTCTGACTTGCATCTGTAAAATCGACCATATATGCTCAATAATATTCTGGTCTGGTGATTGTGGTAGCCAAATGAGATGCTCAACTTCATTCGGATGTTCCTCGTGCCATTTTTTAACAATTCCAGCTGCATTGATCGGGGCATTATCATCTTGGAAGATGGCTTTTCCCTCTGGAAACTTGGCTTGCATTATTTGATGAACTTAGTCCTCCAAAATTCCTAAATAGTCACGGCTATTGATTCTTCCATGAAGAGCAATCATTGGTCCGCCTGATTTCCAAGAAATAGCATCCCTGATCATCACAGATCCCCCGCCATATTTACGGTAGGGAGGAGATTAAATGATCTTTTTGGCTGTCTCCAAACATGAACGTGGCCAGAGGTTAAAAATAATGTAACTGATGATTCACCAGAGAAAATTACATTTTTCCTCTGCTTGAGGGACTAATTCTGGAGGTTTACCACTCTAATTACCGATTCACCACTCTAAACTCTTTGATGCATCTGTATTCGAAACCAGAAGTTTTCTAACTGCAGCTTTTCCATAGAATCAAGATCTGTGCAGCTTCCGGCAGACAGTCTTTATCACAGGCCCGACCTGTGCTTTGCTGAGGACGTTTTTCCTTCTCTTTCGATAGCAGTCATTACTTTTGAGACATTAACTCTAGAAACTTCAAGCATTCGGGAAGTTTCTGTCACAGTAGCACCTGCCATACGGGCACCAACAATTTGGCCTCTTTTAAAGTCAGAGAGGTTTGCCATTTATAGGTTAGGTTATAGACAAAATGTTTACTAATAAATCTATGCAAGGATAATACCAATTAGCTGCAACAATAAAATATAAAAATGTCGCTTCTTACTTGTTTATAACATGTTCAAAAGTTACGATATTTTATCATAAAACATGTATAAATGTTACGATAAAGTTAGAATCGGCAACACGCCATGAGCTCATGAGCCTATTTCTTCAGTGCCGACACTTCTATTCTATTCTATATCGATTTGTCAGGTGTTTCCCATATTTTGTCCAACCCCTATATGTGCAGAAAACTTTTTCACCCCCTCCTCTTTTTGCGTTTTGCTGTTCCTTTCCTGGTGCTTCCCAGTTGTTTTTCATATCATCCCAATTTTTTGCTATCTTTCATCCTAGTATACGCATACTGAACCTCCAGTTCATAATTTGAGTGTTTCTTGTGACTGCATAGCAACATTGAGGGATATGATATTCAATCAGAATCCTTAATAAATAATGCAGTTCATGAAAAACAAAGGAACTGTTGTTATGGTTTACTTGATCTCTGTTTCCAGAATGATATTGCCAAATTATTAGTCATAATTTCGTCCAATCCACGTCTCTGAATATTAACTTCTTTACTCTACAATGGTAAGTATATTTTTAAAGATTTTACCCCCGTTGTTTCATATGCTTCTTAATGAAGACCTATCTTCAAATAAATTTGGTCCTCATCTGAACGTAGCTCCACAATTTACAAACTTAAACACGTGGCTGAAGAGTCATTGTTGCAACACTCCTCCTGTCTTGCATGCTCTTCGCTGTTAACAACTCTCTCTGTTGAACTTGATATTTTTGCATTGGATCATGAAATTAGACTGCTTTAAGTTCCATTCTCAAAAACTGTGCAGGTTGTTAAATCTGTACCTGGTAGCATTTTCATACTGTTTCCTGGACTGATCATGTCTGTTATTGTTAAATTTTCAAAAATTTGTAAGCTGAAGAAAATTTATTACAATTTAATTGATAACTTTTGTATCTTCCATATTTGTCCAACACATATGGTGAATGTTATTGGCATTTCTTCTCATGAATGCTAATTTATTTGTAAATTCTGCAATCCAATGATTTTTTATCAACTAGACATTATGTTTTGTACAATGCCTTGCAGATGGCTGGTTTCTTGGGTATGCAAGATTTCAACAGTGATGAATTAACGAAAAAAATGGAAGGAATTTTGCCCCTGATCAAGAAATTGAATGAACAATTTAAGAACCCAGTAAGTGTTTTAAACTAAGGTTTCCTAATTGGTCAAGCCATTGATTATTTCATTATAATCTTATAAACTAGAATGTTTATTACTGGTATCAAAGAATTATTTAAAATTGTTATCCCATACAATTTTCGTTAATCTGTTAATCATAAGTTTTGTTATCATAAACTTTATCAAATAGTTACTTTCTATAGACATGGTGAACATTAAACCGAACCTAACCCATGATAAATTACCAAATTGAATGATTACGTATTAAATAATGGTTCATGCTTAATCTCACCATCGTGCCTTTGGAACTACATGTGCCTCACTAGTCAAAGGCCTGTGCACTAATGCATTGCTGCTCAGGACCAGACGACATTTGTGTGCGTGTGCATCGCGGAGTTCCTGTCACTGTACGAGACGGAGCGGCTCGTGCAAGAACTTACGCGCTACGGCATCGACACGCACAACATCGTCGTGAACCAGCTGCTGCTGCGGCCCCCTGGCGCTACACAGAGCTGCGAGATGTGCCAGTCTCGCTGCAGGATACAGGATAAATACCTAGACCAGGTGAGTCGTGAACCAGCTGCTGCTGAGGCCTCCTGGCGCTACACAGAGCTGCAAGATGTGCCAGTCTCGCTGCAGGATACAGGACAAATACCTAGACCAGGTGAGTTGTGTACCAGCTGCTACTGCTGAGGCCTCCTGGCGCTACACAGAGCTGCGAGATGTGCCAGTCTCGCTGCAGGATACAGGACAAGTACCTAGACCAGGTGAGTTGTGTACCAGCTGTCTCTTATACACATCTAGATGTGTATAAGAGACAGGCTCAATACTGTCAGTCTGAGCGACTATGTATCTTTACGTTGCTCACAATATGCTCAATACTGTCAGTCTGACTGACTCTGAATATTTACATTGCTCTTAATCTGCTCAATACCAGAAGCCTGACCGGTTCTGATGGTCGCAAACCGCTCGCTGTTCTGAATCTGCTCGCTGATACCGTGATACGCTTTGGCGGAACTGCACTTCACTGCTCATATTATAAATAAGGTATGAAACAGTGCACGCATCTATATAGGCTGCAGCGTGGCACTATTCCACATGTGGCGTATATAAAAGATACTTAAAATTGCAGTTTCACTGTATTACAATTAGGCGCAGAAATTAGTGTATGTGTCTGGAATACAGTTTTCTTCTAATACGAACGTAGCGTATAAAACAGATGAGGAAATAGCATAGGAATACTCCTGTCCTCTAGCACAAATGAATGATTTACAGTGTCTTTTTAGCGCATTTTCTCATTTATGAAAAAATGCACTATTGTGCTCGCCATGTCCGTCTGTCTGTCCGTCCGTGATTTCACGTTTTCGTCGACGAGAAAATGCGCTCTCTGTCACTCACTGCAGTGAGTACTGAGTTATATTTTTTTAATATTGTGTGCGATGCTTTAAATTCATGCTTCTTAAACAATTGACGTTTCTGATGGAAAACGTGAATCCGCTTCTGGTCTGCTTTTATGAAAGATCGATCCTTGATACACAAGGATCGATCTTTCGACACAACAGATATATCGAAAGATCGATCGATTAATGACACAACAGATATATTTTAACAACAAAATATAACGAAGAAAGGACAAAATCGCGAGAAAAATCTTTGCAACGAGCTCTATTTTATGTACTTAGGTATCAAACTTTTGAGAAAAGGAAAAATGAATGAAGTTGTATTCAGTGAGACAGGATTTTGAGCATATGCATATCCCTAGCTGTCTTTTGGACTTCAATCTCTAACTGGCTTTTCTCCCAAGAAACTAATAAACTTGGATATTGCAGCAATATGCATTTTTGCACGATAATGTGCTGAAGTGGGATTTTTTAAGCCGAATAGAGAGATGTGCGACCTCATCGGAGTAGTGACGGCAGTGGTTTAAAAATTTATGAAGCACCTGCTTTGACAAGTTCCAAAGTTCAGGGGAAGGAAATCGTTTACGTCTCTTATATACTTTTACACATAAATCATGGTATTACGTCCAATTCCGCTTCCCTTAAGTAAAGAATTTTGCAGCGTCTTCCATCTATTTTTCACCAATCACTCTGATAGAATTAACTCGTGCGTGAGAAATGAGTCTGACTTTCCGGACTCGGGACGTGAAGTATTTGTTGTCTCATCATGAGTAACGAACTCGATCTAACAGTTCTTGGCGTCTACAGCATCTCGTATCCATCGCGTACTAGTATACCGAAGTCAAATAAACTTATACTCACTAAATATAATATTACACATGCATCCGATATTACTGATAGCAATCATTTTTGGTTGCACTTAAAAGCTTCATGAATGTCCTCTCATTGACAAAGCACGTGCAACCTTAGCGCCACATTCGCGCTGTATCCTTGCTTTCACTGCCGGGACCTTAGCGTGCTCTGCATGCGGGAGTTCCCTGTCCGGGGCAACGCCCTCGCGTTAACGAAGTTTATATATATATAGCATTTGAAATAAATACATTTAAAGCAGAAATTGACAAAGCAATAATCTTTAATTTCACTTGATAAAAATGTGAATTGTGCATTCACGATTACCTTAATATTCTCATTTTGTTCTGACTCCACATAGTAGAAAATAATTTGATTTATTAGATTTAATTAATAAAAGTTGATTTATTCGACAAAACATTAAATAGCAATATAAATTGGTGATACCAGATACGTCAGATAAATGACGCCTTGTATTCAATTGTGATTTAGTTGTGCTATGACAACTTTTTAAACCGGATGCCAACGCATCCGGCTTGCGCTCGCCAGCCCTGCCTTCACGTTACAGTCGACAAACAAAAACGATAGAATATATTTACTAAATTCATAAATCGGCAAAAAAATATTGACCTGAGCATAAAAAAATTCCATTCGATTGTAACAGTCAAGATTAACATAGTCTGCGCTGCGCAATTTAGATCATTTCACGGTAGCTTGAATCATTTGATCCAATTCCTGAAAATTATCGATTGTATCTGTGACTGTTTCTGAGTCACAACACTGGCTTCTGAGAAGCAATAACAATGAAGAGAAACTAACCGCGGGGCGAAGTCCATCTCTTCTGTCCTGGTCACCTCCTGTGACGCGCATCACCAGAACACGCAGTACATTCACGCGCTCCAGGGCGATGAACTTTACACTATCACTTAATTAAGGACCAATAAGCATATTTTCCATGAATTAACGCGGAAGAAAATATGTTACTGGCATTTTGCTAAAAAATATAACTCAGTACTCAATACAGCGAGTGACAGAGAGCGCATTTTCTCGTCCGTCCGTCCGTGAAGTTACGGACAGACAGACGGACGGACGGACATGACGAGCACAATAGCGTCTTTTTAGCGCATTTTCTCATTTATGGTCCGTCTGTCCGTCCGTCCGTCTGTCTGTCCGTCCGTGACTTCACGTTTTCGTCGACGAGAAAATGTGCTCTCTGTCACTCACTGCAGTGAGTACTGAGTTATATATTTTTTCCATAAATGAGAAAATGCGCTAAAAAGTATTCAAATTTGCCTTTAATCTTCATCAGCTCATGAGATGTAACACGCTTAATGAGATTTGTCTTCTCGAGAAATACTTTCAACGAGTCGAACAGTTCAGCCTCCAAACGTGGCAAGCCTCTTCAAGAGTTTTGGTTTATGAAAAGAAAACCAAATCCGACGCAAAGCTCGCAAAGCATTTCCTGTCAGTTTACCCTTAAACATGAATCAATTATGCTCATCAGGATTAATCAACATTGATTTTAATATCGATTTGCTTGGTACAATTCAACAAATGTGTTAAACGAATTCAAATATTTCGCTCATCAACTGATCGTAAGTGTCTTTTTTCGACGCAAAATATGCATTTCCTAAGGCACCTTTCTTCGATAATTCCACCTATTGAAGCCCTGGGTTGCCATGCACGTGAAGTGATCACTTGAAGCCATAAAGAACTCGTCTGAAGATGATCAGGATCACAGAGCACGCAACGCCCCTGCCTTCAAAGGGCCATTGTACCCTCAGTTGTACCTCACTTTGCTGCTCCTTGCACCCACGCTCGTGCGTTTCTTCCCCTCTTTTGAATAACGCATGAACTTATTTCTTCATCTCCTAGAAGCCGCATTGATGCCTTTTTTCATTTATTCAAGGCCACATTTACGCTTTAATTCCTTTCTCTCATCGGGGCCACGTCTACTCTTTTTCGCCTCATTGGGACCACGTGAAAGCTCTTTTTCGTCTTACCGGGGCTCATGAACTGTGAACTATTGATAAGAAATCGTTAGCAGACTTATATACCAGTTGAGACGGCAGTCTTTAACTCAGCAACGAGGTCGATGAGGAGACTGACAGCTTTTGATGCACACACAACTCGACAGGAGAGGCTGACAGTCTTTAATTAGTCAGCAATTAAGCGAACAGGTATAAATAAGTGAACGACTTTAAAAAAACTGGAAAGTCTTTAAAGTGCAGGTGGCTTGTCAGGAATGTGAAGATGCCATTATTTGATCAATAGGTAACATGTTAGGACTCTAAACTCGCCAGTCTTCAATGAAAAGCGCTAACGTATCAAGACTGAATACTCAAAAACGTGCTAAACACGTTATGCTGGAAGTTTGTATAGAGAATGAGCCATGAATCTATTTTTAACTGCAACTAAATATCGTAATATCATTGATGTTTAAAGTTTAAACTGTTGAATCTAGCATCTTTTAGACAATTTTTTAAGCAAAATAAAAAATTTATGTTAAGTTATATATGATATAGAAGCGATTGGCCTTCTGTTTTTTTAGGATTGATAGTGAAAAGTCTAGATAAATCAATATTTTAGACATAACGTGAGCACAAGCAAAACTATTATCGAACAGATCTTGGCGATCTGGATGCATTGATTTTACTAAAAAGTAAATGCAAGGCTCTTTGCTTTCCTATGCGTACGACGAGCAAATGATTTCTTAGAATAACGACTCAACACCGCTGAGAAAGCATTTTATAAATAATGTACGTTTCTTGGAATTATTGCTGCGCCTGAATTGTTTATGGCTAAACCGCATTGTTCTGAGCAGGAAAAATTCATTTTAAATTACTTATAAGATGAGATTCAATAGATTCAGAGGAAGCTAACAATTATGAACACAATTCAAAAGAATCAAACACGTTTAAAGTTCAATCTGCATTTAAGACAGTACCAGAACCATCAAATTGAACCGTTTAATTTTTACGTAAATTTTCTCACAACTTTTGCGCTTAGGACATATTGACTCCTTAATGTACATCCTTCGATCAAGCCATCACTTTTTGCAACCGAGACCGCGAAGTTTTTCGGTGTTTTAATGCAATTTTTTTCTAAAATTACTTCTTTGATGGATTTAGATTATTCAAAAAGTAAAATTCTAAATTGTTTATAAACTGTTCAATCCCTCTGTCGGATACTAGAGAGTGGATACTATAATATAACGGCACCGAGTAGTGAAACCTTAATGTAAAAAATACTGTTGATCTTCTGTGCCTGATGTAAATCACAGTAATATAGAGCGAGTCATCATTTACCTCAGTCTCTGTTCCTCCGTCTTCGAAATAATCCCCAAAAATGTTTCAATAAAAGTCAATGTCACGATAGTTCGCCTCCTCGATAGTTCGCTATGCATCGGATTCTTTTCTGAAAAAAATATGTCGTAAATGATACAGTGCAATAACCAGTAAACGATTTGACTGTCAAGCATTAATTCTTTGTACAGTTTAAAAGCTATGCCTTCGCTAGAGACGATTGGCCTGATTCGAATAGAAAATTAAGTAATAACTAATCTCATTCCAACAAACGACATTACCACGTTTGAGTTTTAAACATTCTGCATGTTTTGAATTTGTTGTGCGAATAAACTTATT